TAATGCAAAATCTATGATGTTTATATTCAAAATGATCATCAAATTGTAAGAATTCCAGCAATGTAAATTATATTCTGGCTGGATAATTTGTATGAATTTTATGAGCTAAATAAAAATTATACTTCACCTGTGTAGGTACACCCACCGGAATGTGAGCATCCTGGGTTCGGGCAGGGCACCGTGTAAGCAGAATGTGGGACGTAAAGTGAGGTTGACTGTGTGTGTGTGTATATATATATATATATATATATATATATATATATATATATATATATATATATATATATATATATATATATATATATATATATATATATATATATATATATATATATATATATATATATATATATATATATATATATATATATATATATATATATAGCATATATATATATATATATATATATATATATATATATATATATATATATATATATATATATATATATATATACATATATATATATATATATATACATATATATATATATATATATATATATATATATATATATACATATATATATATATACATATATATATACATATATATATACATATATATACATATACATATACATATACATATAACTCAGTCTTTACCTAATTGACGTGATTTCATTTAATTTTCGACTTACTTAATTACCAGATATAGATAAAAAAAAAATTTTTTTTTTTTTTTTAAATGACACGATTTTCTATACCGAAACGTTTCCAGTTAATGTAGTTCCATGTATAATTAGAAAAATTATAGCCCCATGCATTCAGCTGACTACATTAAAGGTTAAGTGCTCAGTCACACTGTATCCATTCCTTATTATTTATTACTTTCTAATGTACTGTATCCATTCATCATTATTCATTACTTTTTACTGTACTGTATTTCATTGCAGATTTTTACAATTTTTTTTTTTTTTTTTTTTTTTTTTTTTTTTTTTTTTTTATCTATGTCGGACTTACAACCATGTCGGACTTACGACCTGGATTTGGGTCCCTAACCCCGTCGTAAGTCGGGGTCTAGGTGTATATATATATATATATATATATATATATATATATATATATATATATATATATATATATATATATATATATATATATATATATATATAGTTAACCCTCACTTTACGCGGTCCCACATTCCGCGTTTACGCGGTGCCTTGCCAGAACCTAACGTGCTCACATTACGCGGTACGTGAACCCCATTACGCGGAGAGTGTCCGGCGCGACGCTATTTTTAGATTCGCTCCACCCGCCTGCCTGCCTGCCTGTGCTCCTCGCCTCTCCCTCCTCCTCCCTCCGCTTGGGCAAGCTGCGCGGTAAGGTTGCGCAGTGTGTGTCTTTGTTGCGTTATCACTGACGTCATATGACGTATCCAACTGTGATTGGCCATACATCCCTACCCCCCTCTGCTGCTAGCTGTAATTGGCTTAAAGTATTATGACGTGTCCACCCGGGGGAGGGAGGGAGGGAGGAAAGATGACGCTTGACCTAGCCGCGGCAGTTTCATCCCTCAAGGCCACACCGTGTAATCGTGCATCCATTGTTCAGTAAAATGGCTTCCGCCGGACCACCGCCCCCAGAGAGAAACCTTTCCTTACCTGGACCCAGCGGCACTAAGCCAAAGAAGACACGACGTTCCTTAAGCTACGAGGTGAAGTATACCATCATCCAAGAGTTGGAGAAAGGAACAAGGCAGGTTGATTTGGCGCGCCAGCATGGTGTGAATGAATCTACGATTCGAACAATAAAGAAGGATGCAGCCAAGATAAAGGAGCACATGAAGATCACAAAGTCTACAGGTGCTTCTATGATCAAGTATTTTCACAACCAGGTGCTTCTCAAGACAGAAAAATTACTTGTGAGGTACTTGGTGCGTCAGGCGCGACGGAACATGGCGGTCGACACGCGCTCTGTTAAGGACTACGCACGTGAACTGTACATGGCAGTGGCACAAAAGATGGGAATTACAGAGCCCAAACCCTTTAATGCTTCCTCTGGGTGGTTACAGAGGTTTAAGATCCGGAACAAGATCACCAATATAAACATTGGTGGTGAAGAAGCGAGTGCTGACCGTGCTGCGGCTAGGGAATTTCCTCCGTTTTTACGTGAGATTATGGAGGAAGGACAGTACAGTGACGACCAGGTGTTTAACATGGACGAATCTGGTCTTTTCTGGAAAAAGCTACCTTCCAAGTCCTTCGTTGTAAAGAATGCCAGCAGGATTCGGGGCCGGAAGATGCAGAAGGAACGCATCACCGTCCTGTTTACCACCAATGCCTCCGGTACCTGTAAGCTCAAGTTATCGGTGATCCACACAGCACGCAAGCCGCATGCCTACAAAACCATGGACATGACCAAGCTAAATGTCCACTGGCTGACCGCACGTAAGGCGTGGATGTTCTCTACACTGTCCCTCTCCTGGTTTGATGACTGTTTTGTTCCCGATGTAAAGAAATTCTGTGAGCAACAGAATGTGCCATTCAATATTTTGTTGCTGCTGGACAACGCACCAGGAAACTTGCCCCTACTGTTAGATCGTCACCCCAACGTAAAAGTGGTCTTCCTTCCTCCCAACACTATGTCTATATTACAGCCCATGGACCAAGAGTTAATCTGTAATGTAAAAGCTGCATTCTCAACAAAAAAATTCAAACTCCTGAACGACTACACCAACACCAGGGAAGAGTTGCGTAACCTGAGTGACACCACCACCGATAGCAAGAGCGAAGAAGATGAGGATCAACAGTTGGCACAGCAAAAAATACTGTTCAAACAATTCTGGAGAGTATTTAACATCAAGAAAGCTGTGGACTTATTGGTGGAGTCATGGGATCAGCTGTCTATTGCTACAATTCGTCACGCATGGAGACATGTGTTGCATGGAATACCAGGTGAGAGGAGGAGTCAATCTGTGACTGGTGAGGTTCAGACTGTTGCAGTAGCAGTGGACCTTGCAAGAGAAGCTGCGCAGACTGTTACAGTTCCAGGCTTCTCCGAGACCACCAACGACGACATCCTGGAGGTGATCAGAGATCCTGAAGTGAGTGCCGACGAGATGTTGGAAGAAGATCACGTCAGTGAAGAGGAGGAAGAAGGTGAGTCATTCTCCGAAGAACACAGTTTAACTCATAGTGATATTAAGGGTGCCATGGAGTGTGCAGAGAAAATGAAGTCCTTCCTTTCCCGCGACAATGACGATGACCGCTATGAAGTCTTCCATACCCGGCTGGTGCAGGCTATGGAGCCGTACATCACGGTGTATCAAGACAACATAAACACCAGCCGTCAAAAAAGCATAACCGAGTTCTTCGCCTGCAACCCACCACAGCCAGCCCAAGCCAGTGATAGTGACAGTGAAGATGACTTTGAGGGATTTGTCAGGGAAGCCCTGACAACTGTAAGTGATGGTGATTCACCTAGTAATGGTGATTCACCTGAGGGCCAGTAATCTGCCCTCTGCCTCGGAACCAGCCTCCATCCCCGTATGCCGACCCATCTCTTCTACTAACGTAAGTGTTCCACATAACTTTTAGTTTTTCTAACCTAACCTTTATTTTTCCTATGTTAACCTTTATTTTTCCTAACCTAACCTCTTCTATATTACTTGTTTTTTCATACCATCATAAAGTTAAGATAAAATTTTTACTACAACATAGTTGTGTGTCGTCAAAAAGTGGAGTTTGGGGGTGGGCCCGGACTCTATTTCAATTAATCCCATATGTTATGTTATTCACTTTACGCGTTTCTCACTTTATGCGGGACCCTGCGGGTTGCATTAACCGCGTAAAGTGAGGGTTAACTGTATATATATATATATATATATATATATATATATATATATATATATATATATATATATATATATATATATATATATATATATATATATATATATATATATATATATATATATATATATATATATATATATATATATATATATATATATACAGTGATCTGCTAACGTAACTCAACTGCTCTAGAAGGTCGTTCGTTAACCGGAGTTCGTTAACCGAAACCATTGTTTCAATGGGTTTTTGGGTAATTGGTTCCAGCTCACCGAAAATTTTAGCTCTCTTGGTGTAATTCAAGATTATTTTCTTTAAATTAACACTGCACTGCATTATATATTGTCAATATGTAAAATATATTTCAAAATGACCAATAATTTGCTTGGAAACACAGAAAAAAAGTGTTTAGTTGAAGAGAGTCTCAAGCAAGATGTTACCTCCAGTGAAAACAGAGAGAGACTAACGCCTGTTTGCTGTGTTAAGAGGCTGGATGTCACATTAAACTAGTCACTTTATCTTCAGTTATGTTCAATAATTGTTAAAATGACTAAAAAATTGAATATTAAACTTTTAAAAATTATTGAATAGTATAAACTTTGATATTTACTAAAATAGTAAGGAGTTTAAGCCCTAGAACCAATTCATGTATTGGCACTGATACTAAAGCTGGTTGCCCGTCAGTGCAAGTAAAACATGTTGAGGTTCGTAAGAATTCTTAATCAATTTTTTTTTCGTTAACTCAATTGAAGATCCTTAGAAGGCAGTTCGAATCGAAATTACGTACCGAGGTGTTCAAACGAGGTCACTGTATATATATATATATATATTTGTGTTTTATTCAAGACATCTTTAGAGGCAGTTGCTCTGAAGATGTCTTGAATAAAGACGAAAGCTAAGGTGCTCTGTTGTTCTATTTTCCGTGTGATTATCAAGATTTATCTTATCCACGTTTCATTGTGATTTACATGATATATATATATATATATATATATATATATATATATATATATATATATATATATATATATATATTATATAATATAATAATATTATATATATATATATATATATATATATATATATATATAATTTTTTTTTTTTTTTTTGGGGGGGGGGGAGCTTAAGAAATACTGGATCACTGGATCCTGTAATGATACATAAATTACCTACCTATCTCATGGTACTGTGTTCATCTCTTGTCAGAACTTGGGTATAAAAGCAGTAAGGCTCAATTCTATCATTGAGGCCAGTGACTACCTCTACAGCTACACCTCCATAACTAACTACACTGCTGTGGATCCACTATTGGGTGACTCAAGTCATGTTGAACTGCTGGCTGCACTTTTACATCAGAAAGGGATGTATCTCTTAATGGATATACCACTATCTTCTCTTCAGACTGAAGTTTCAGGTCAGCCTTTGAAACAGTTCTTTTCTGTATTAGGAATGTTCTCTAGAGGCTTTTGTGTGTTGTTTATGAAATAAATATTACTGTACTTGCAAGTCAGTACAGTACAGTAGTGTATATTAAATTTTAAAATGTTCTGTATATGTTGATATAAAATTTCTCTTTAACATAATAAAATTTGAATATTTTCTTTGTTGATATGTTTCCTCGACTATTGACAAAGCAGATTACCGTACCTTGCGGTCTGGAAGACAGACTCAAACTCCGCACCATTTGTTTGAGAGCTACAGTACAGTACAGTACAGTACTTCCCATTCACCATGCTCTCAGTTTTTGTGCAGTATAAAGTAATTTATGTACAAATAACTTACATGGAACCATCTGCAAAAGGCATATATGAGAGAAGTTAACAAAACATGACTCCGGTAAAAGGGTATACATCGCCAGATAGCTCGTATTATTTATACCGTACCTAATTTTGGCTCATTGTGTGTTCTGGATTAGATATGGTGCTCTGGAAATTTAATTAGCTAATGATACATAATGGAAGTTTTCACCCCATACTGAAGCTTGACACACTGTTGAGGAGGTAGGTGTCAAAATTTTGTCATGGAATTAAAAAATGATTATTAATTATTTGTTTTCAATTTGCTTCTTTACAAGACAGACAGCAGCTATGGTGTGAGTCTGGCAGAAGTGTACCCAGTGCTCAAGTACTGGTTGTCTCTTGGCGTTGATGGCTTCTTCTTCCCAGACATCACTGAGGTACGTCAACTATTTGGAGTTGATTAATTTTGTCTCTACTGTGACCAAATTTACATTATATCTTCCACACATTTGTTAATATTTTAAGACATTGTCCTTTGTCTTATATTAACACTGTACCATTTTTAATTTACTTTGACTGAGTCTCTTCATAGATTTAGATAATTTCACTGTAGAGTTCTTTTATAATGATTTGGAGTTTTCCTTTAAAAAGAATACAGGTACAGGTGTCCCTTGAGTTACTGAAGCTTGAGTTATGGAAATTCACTTTCACAAAATCCATAAGTAGAGAGAGTTTTGAAATTCAGAAGAAAAATTTGCATTAATGGAGAATTTGTGAGATTCTGGAATAAAGAAAAGTTGAGGGGGGGGATGTATAAATCTTGCCAACCCCTAATATTTCACTAAACATAATATAAATACACTTGAACTCCTATAATTTGCTCCTCACTAATTTGGACTTGGCAATGATTCAGTCATTTTTGTTGATATTAAATTACTCAGCAATTTTTCAACATTGAGCCCAAATGTCTGAATTTCACTGTAATCAACATATCTAAATATCATATTTTTTCCATTCAATTCTTTTTTGTTTCATTCAAAACAAGGTATGGGTATTACTAGGTTCCTATGCTTGAGTCTAATATTTTGTAGAATTTTAAGTAAAACAAAAACAAAATTAATAAAAAAAATATGAAAGCAAACAGAAAAGTATGAAAAATGTCATCCTTAAATGAGCTCACACTTGGTTCATGACAACATTCTATGGCAGGTTGTAGCACTGAAGATAATAAGACATTTTGTAAATTACAGCAAAAAAACACACTCGCTCATCGTCACTGCTTCTCATCACATACAGTTATTGCTGGTATAGTTGTGTTTATACTGTAAACTTTTAGACGTGTTTACAGCTGTTATCAGTTTACTCAGTTATATTCTTAAACTCTTTAAGAGCTGTTGTTTCATTTTTTATACATGTGTTACAACTGTACAATATAATTTTTTTTTACAGTACTCAGATGACCCAGGGCTTGTGGAGGCTATGTACAAGTGGAGGAATGTATTGGATCAGTTTAGCAGTGGCTCAGAGCACAGAGTGATGATGGTTCCTGTTGCTCTGCTGGAGAAACTCAAATCTGCTGAATTTACTCATCTTGACCACCTTCTTCACCTCGTAGACCTGATTGATGTTCCTGTTAACCTCACTGGATCGGCTGAGGTACGAGTGTTTGCCTTGACAGGTGTTACATGATCATGTTTCTTTTCTTTTACAAAGCTCTCATTGTAGTGTTTGTGTATCTGATATTTCTCTGTGTATAGTGGAGTCTTTCTGAGTGCACAGGACTGAAAAATTTATTGTTGTTGTGATGAGTGTGGTACACTCAGACCTTGTCAGGTGATATGATGGAGGTGTATAAATGGAAGGCAAGGCTAAACAAAGGGAACATTACAAAGGTACTCAAACTATCCAACCAGGAGCGAACTCGTAACAATGGTTTTAAATTAGACAAATTTAGATTTAGGCGCGAAATAGGTAAACATTGGTTTGGAAATAGAGTAGTGGACGAGTGGAACAAGTTACCAAACATCATCATTAACTCGAATATGCTGGATAGCTTCAAACATAGGTTGGGTGGATATATGAGCAATAGGGTGACTGCCCAGTATGGGCCAATAGGCCCGCTGCAATTTCCTCCATTCTTATGTTCTTTGCTGATGACACGTAAGAAAGTTGACCTTAGCTGACCCCACCGTCAGAATTAAAATTAACACTGAACGTTGACCACAGACAACCTTTCACCCAGAATAAAAAGAGTCCCCTAAATATTTTTTTTTTTTAAATTTGGGAGGTTTTAAATTTTTTCTTTAGAATTACATGAATTGTAAAGGGAGATGTATCCACACCGCTGGCCTGGCTGTAACTTACAATATCATTTGTATTGTATTCCCATCAGCATGTAAGGTAATACTGTACATTGCAATATATTATATAAGTAATGGTGTTGAAGTTTTGTGTAGCCTTGGAAGCCTTGGTTTGACTTTGGCTTCATGACTTCTAAATGGCTGGCTTCAGCTTTGTTACTCTCCAGTGGCTAGTTGCTACCCACCATCACACATACAGTATAATTTTGGTGAAAATTAGGTGTCAAATAATCTTGTTCCACAAATATATGATCTGTTGTTTTAAGGAAATACAGTATGACAATTTTTGCGTTCTAGATGATTCCAGAAGTTTTGAAGTCAGCTACTGCCTGGGACAGCCATGCTTCATTACCATGGATCAATTGGAACATGGGAGGAATAGAGAGAGAGCGTGTTGCTGCCCTGACCCACCATCACCCACTTGGCCGGTCATTGTTGTTGCTCTTCTTCCCAGGAACCATCACCCTGTATTATGGAGATGAGCTTGGTCTCTCTCAAGCTTCACAGGTATTTCTTAGTCTTCATTTAGAATAGTGAACAATTACTGAATAAATACTGTACACCATTCCTAGATAATGTTCCCATCTTGGTACAGTGTTAATGCTCTATGTGTCTTGACATTTATGACAGCTGAGGGTTGTTTCTCATGTTGGAATTTTATAGCTAATGTTAAGCGTATGAAATGTTTGGAACATGTACTATGCGTGGCAGTAATATCCATATTAAGGGGTAACATAAGTTTGGGTCAGCCTGTACCAGTAACAGCTATACTGATAAACAAATAGTTTGAAGATACAGGGATGTAAAAAGAGGGAGTTTCTGTGAAGTTAACAGTAGTATCTTGTAAGAACACAAGACTGTTGTAGAAAGGCAGGAGTAAAATATTAAATCATGGATTTATTTAATTAAATTAAATATCTACTTCAAGTTATACAGGGTGACTGGCTGAGTGAAAGTGTTAAACGCCACCGACGGGTCACGCGATGCCTGATAACTCTAGGGATCGTGTCGGGTCTTTCTGTAATGTTGGGCTACTTTTATGCATATTAGGTTCCTAACTAATATAGTTTTGGGTGTATTATTTTGGGTTCTTGAATAAAAAAGTCACACTATTATACAGTAATCTCATTGCAGGAAAGAGGATGGTCATCAATCATGCACTGGAATGGAGGCAAACATGCTGGCTTCAGCTCAGTGGAACCTTGGCAAGATTTACCAGAGGGGTGGGAAGACAACAATGTGGAGGCCACAAATGACACCATCTCCTCACTTACTACCATGATCTCTGCTCGACAGAAAAAGGTAAGATTGTTTTTATTTTGTTTCTTTATTATCTTTCTATCCTCCATAAACCTTTCATTTATAAAGGTTAAAATCCTCTAATCCAGCACCTTCAGGACTAGACTGGTGCCAGACCATACAAATGTCTAAACCACAGAAGGTCATCTAAAGTCTGGTAACAAAATGACTCTACCAATACACTTACGTATAAATACAGTGGTCCCTCGATTAACGAATGATTCAATTTACAAAATTTTGGTTAATGGATTAGCTCCCATAAGGATTTTCAGTTCCATTAACGAACAAAACTTCGATTAACAACAGCCTTACGAGAAACACGCTTTGTTGTGCGCATCAGCTGATCGGCTAGTCCGCCAATACAGTAATTGGTTCTATGTTTACATTCGTTTCCAGTGGAGTAAATATCAAGAAAGTTGTGCTCTTGAATATTTTTGCATTTTTTATATTAAATTATTGGTCATTTTGACATTTAGTGAACATATTGATAATATATACAGTACAGGGAACAGTTTTTGTGTGCTCTTCAGCTGATTGAAAAACCCACCAACACTTCTCAGTTTAACTTTGTTTACAGTGCAGTGAACATCAAGTTTGTTGGTCTTGAATATTTTTGCATTTTTACAATAAAATTATTGGTCATTCTGAAATTTAGTTAACATATTGATAATATACAATGCAGAAATTATTATGAAACATGAAGAAGGCATTAGAACCAATGCACTCTGTAAAGAATATGGCATGTCATCAGCGACTGCCTCTACAGTACAATCAGCTGTTTGATATGTAAACAAAGTTGCCGAGAATATGACATACACACCTGAAATTAAGTTAAAATACAGTATTCTATTGTTTTTATTTATTATTGTACAGTACAGTATACTGTAGAGTACAGTACATGTACTGTAATTAGTTTATATTTAATGTTTTGTTAATTCTATTACCAGTACATGTATACAGTACTTTGTATGTATACTTTTTCATGTGAGATGGAACCAATTACCCAATATCCCATTGAAATAATAGATTCAATTAACGAAATTTTCGGTTAACAACTGACTCTGTGGAACCAATTGTGTCCGTTAATTGAGAGACCACTTTACAGTTAAAGTTAATAAACATACAGTAATGAATATTTAATATCCATTCACATGATGGTATAAATGGAGGTGTTTCCATGTGACTGACAAATCCTTCAGGGTCCCCAAAATCCATTGTCTGGTACAGGAAATTTCTGTCCGTCTACTCATCATAAGACACACTCCGTTTTTGGTCGCTTGATTTTTATCACTAAATTTTTTTCATTTATTTATTTATTTTTTATTTATTTATTTATTTATTTTTATTTTATTTATTTATTTTTTTTTTTTTTTTTGGGGGGGGGGGGCTGGTAGATCATGTAATCTTCATGCTGTAGAGACAAATCTGCCTCAACCAGAATTGCAATTGTATCTTGTGGCCAGTAATCATCAGATTTAAGGCCACTTTCCTGCTCAATCAGTTTACTACCAGGTAAAATACGCTGCTGCACTTTCTTTTTTATTGTACATTTGCATACAGTGTTTGGTATTCATTCTGAGTTGTGGTTGTTATGTGCAGCTACTCTAATAATAGACAGAAGCTTATGGAACTGTGGAGAAAAGTGAAAATAACACTAGTTTGTGTCATAATGAATCTGTTTGTTTATTGCTATTTGTATATGTGGTACAATTGGGGGATACTTAATGCTTTCCCCTTAATCATACCTATATTCTCTGAAAATAATACCTTCAAAATGAGACCATTGTCATTAAAATCAATAAATATTTGACATTTTCTCAAAACTTAATTTGTCGCTTTTATGCTCTCGCATTTTCCCACAAAAGTAACAGTAATGTACAATATAGAAACAATAATACAGTACAGGGATACAGTAAATATTTCTCTCAAGATGGGTATTATTACTATAAGCTGATACTACATTCCCAGGTCCCCATCTACATCAATGGCATATTTGACTATCAGGGAGATTACCACCCCATCAAGTCAGCAAACTACAGGGTAAGTAAAAAACTGCTGCTGGGAACCAGTTTGTCAAATGAAGGAGTCTAGGTTCACCTGATGGCAGCTCTCCATGCTGCTGGGTTTCTTATAGTCTCTCTTGTCATTTTTTTACATCTGCTGTACTTTATATTGTTCTGGTAAAAAGAAAATAATATGTATCTACTGTTCACTGTTTTTCAGTTAATGAATTTTTTTTTTTTTTGAGTTCTTGAAAGAAAACTCATTTACCCACATAATTGTCATGGATATAGTTTATTGATATTAAATTTGAATTGATTAGTTTAGAAATTCACTTTTGGTTTGGGCATTAGTTACTGTATATGTCAAGTAAGGTAAAATAAAAAATAAATAAATATTTTAAAAGTTTTATCTGTTAAATTTTATAGCATTATAAATTATAATGTCCCTTTCACTTCCAGGTGAGGCATGCAGATCATGGGCTAATCATTATAGATCGGTTTTATCCTCGACGAAATCAGTACGCTGTAGTCGCTAACCTGGGCCCTAATACTGTTAACCAAGACCTCTCTCGTTTCTACTTTGGAGGCTCGGTGTTAGCCTCATCTCATGGTCAGTCTGGTTATGTAATGTTCCGAAATATAAGTTTACAACCCGGAGAAGCTCTGGCTTGTATATTAGACTTATAAATATTACAATCAAATGTAAACATAATTACTTTGTAAAGAACACATAATATATAATTTTTTAAGCTGTATTAAAAATGAGTGAATGTGCCATGTAAAACGGGTAATATCTCAAGATTAACGATTTTCCGTTTAGCAGCGCATTTGATATTATGCAGTACTGATAATTGATCAATTATCAAAATAAGTTAATGTTAATTTTCACAAGAACTGTAAGGAAAAAGTAAGTGGTACTCTTAAGTTAGTTTATAAAAATTGCTGCAGTGACATCAAACTTTCCTCTCACAGTGGACTGTTATGGATAATTTAATTATTTGAAGCTCCTGACCTAACATTGAATTAAAATGGGAGTAAACAAGTCACCTTATTTGCATGTTTGAAATATGTCATAAAAGATGCATATGGCATTGAGTAATACTGTGGTTATGATTATGCACATTCATATTTTATGCTTTTTAGTGAGTGACTTTCAGTATATCATATACTGCACCAGTACAGTATTAGTGAAAGTATTTTTAAGTACTGTATTTGAGGTTTAGCTTTTTATCTTTGTTGAATAGGCACTAATGCCAGTTAGTGTCATAATTAGGCCTCAGAGTAAGGTAAACATCCTCAGCTATAATGGTTTGTATTAATATATAATGCTATTGTATTAATTATATTTATAGCTTGAGAGAAGTGAGACGAAGACTAATGTTATTGTGGATGGAGAGTGTATGGATATTGAAGTGTAATGTTTCAGATATGAGGGAGTCCATGTGTCAGTAAGTGATGAAATGAACCTCAAAATAATGAAGGAAAAGAAAATATTACAGTACATGAATTGAAAGAGGCAAGTGCATCAAAAGAGGTAAAGATGGGATGTACAGGTGAAGCATGGATTCTGGATGGAAGAGGAAGAAGTAATACAAGAGATGAAGGAGCACGGCAGTCGAGTAGATACAGTGCTCGCCTCCTGTTCCGGGGATTGGTAGTTCGAGTCTTGGGCACTCCCAGTTCACCCAGCTGTAAATGGGTACCTAAGTTTACAACTTGAGGAAGTGAATGCGGTTGAGTGCAGTACTGGCCATGCTGCCTCCTTATGTACTGAAAGCTTAATATACAGTGTGCTGTATCCACACTGTCCCTTACAGGCAGTCATGCCTATGGGACCCACTTTTATAAATGATGAGCTTGAGTGCGATATTTTTGTTATATATGATGAGTAGCATAAGTAAAGACACAGGGAGGTTTAGAAGTGAAAGTATTGGGCAGAGCATGGATCAGGGTCTACTTGGGTGGTATGGTCACACTCAGAGGATAGGAAGTGAATGGCTGGTAAAGAGAATATATAATTCATAGGTGAATGGTAAGGATAGGGACCCATCAAGGAGGACATGGAAGGATGGGTTGAAGTGAGGGGAATGAACATCCAGGAAATAGCTATGTGGTAAATGAAATGTTTGGTGACAAGTGATTTCAGGGAAAGGATATGTTGGTGACAGGTAATGCTGGCTTGTGTGTGTGAAGTGGTGGGGGTAAACCAGGTTTGGAGCCTTATTGTGGAAGGGGAGTACCATAACTGGAGACATTTTATGGCTGTAAGAATGAATGGATGACTTGTGTGAAGGTAACATATACAGAACACGTGTATTTGAGAGAAAGGGTATACCTGATTTTATTTTGGTCAAGTGACTCCAAAAAAAATTAGGCCAAAAGTGAATCAAGGGGACAGGAGCGTCCTTATGTAAAATACGTTTCATGTTCATAGCTTTTTTCTAATGTTAGGACCTGTTTCTCATCACCTTAAAGCTGTCAAAAGATCCAACAGAAATGCTTAGAGATCAGTTGAAGAAATCTGCAAATGGATTTGGCTGCCACTTCTTGTTTTGGCAAACAAATGTGATGATAATAAAATAGAGTACAGGTATAGATAATTTGACCTCCCTTGGTAATGAACAATAAATTGTTAAAACATCGTATATTGCTCTCGTTTTTCTTTATCTACCGCTCTTTAATGCTCTATGTTTTCATTATGGTGTGTTACATACAGTATTCTTAAACTACATACTTTACAATACAGTAGATTCATTCAGAGATTATTGTGGTTTTGTCTTCCAGTATTTATTTCGTGTTTCTTCACACGACTACGGTGTACGGTAACCCCTCGTTTAACGAACGCCTCGGTTAACGAAATTTCGGTTAACGAACTGCCTTCCATAAGGATCTTCAATTCGGTTAACGAACAAAAATTCGGTTAACGAATTTCTTACGAACCGACCTCAACATGTTTTCGCTTGCACTGGCCGGGCAACCAGCTTTAGTATCAGTCCGCCAATACATTAATCGGTTCTAGGGCTTAAATTCCTAACTATTTTAGTAAATATCAAGAAGTTTATACTATTCAATAATTTTAAAAGTTTAATATTCAATTTTTTAGTCATTTTAACAATTATTGAACATAATTGAAGGTAAAGTGACTAGTTTAAAGCGCAGCATCCAGCCTCTTAACACAGCAAACAGGCGTTAGTCTCTGTTTTCACTGGAGGTAACATCTTGCTTGAGACTCTCTTCAACTAAACGCTTTTTTCTGTGTTTCCAAGCAAATTATTGGTCATTTTGAAATATATTTTACATATTGACAATATATAATGCAGTACAGTGTTGATTTAAAGAAAATAATCTTGAAATACACCAAGAGAACTAAAATTTTATGGGTGAAATGGCACCATGGGGTGACTTCTCTTCCACCCCAATGCCTTCTCTTCTTCCTTCTCCTCCACCCCCATTATGTAATTCCCCATTATCATCATCATCATCCAGGAATACATACACCTCTCAAAGTAAGTGAACTTTTCTACCATTTTGTTGAATTTAGAAATTTTAAATTGAAGCTGGAACCAATTACCAAAACCCATTAAAACAATGGTTTTAGGATTTAACGAACTTGCACCGGTTAGCAGGCGGATTGAGTTAGATTAACGAGGTCCTATTCATCTTTTAAAAATAATTATGAATGGATTCCAAACCCAGCCGATGATAGAAAGGTTGTAAGTACAGGTAGCAAGATAGCACTTGAGTTTTGGGTTGTTGTTTATTCTGTCCATCTTGCATTATGACAGGAGGGGGCTGACATGAGTAAAAAAGTTAAATGAACAAGTAGAATCCCTTAATAGAAATTGTTGTAAGGCGTAGTAATGATTTAATAATGAAAATGTTTGGGAAATTTTTCTAGTGCTGCCCTCACTTTAATGTGGGGAAGGGCAGGATGAAGTGATTGTTTCTCCATATGTATTTTTTATCATAATCTAATTTAAAGGAAAAACTTCCTTAACTCGGTAACAGTACATAACCTTATTTTGAAGTCTGGATGTTTCGTAAAGTATTTTAAATACAATAAATTCTCTATTTATGTGGTTCCAAATAACATTATTTAACATCATTTTGCTTAACTATCACCGACATAATTAGGGAACAAATTCTGTTTTAAATTGTGTGCTTTCAAAAAATTCAGATCGAGCAACTTCTATAAAGAATTTCCTCACCATATCTGGCGAGTGATAAATTATGTATATTTAGTACATGATAAATTATGTATATTTAGTACATGTGGGGGTATCACCTTTCCATGTATAAATAAGGCTCTGTTAAACTTTTGTTATTAAATAAGAACTAATATATAGTTTTAAAAAATATATTGCTCATGGTTGCATCTCTGCTAGCTTGTGATGAGCTGTTTTGGTACTGTCTGGTGCCATTAATTATTACCTGTATTTGTGTTTCTTAACATAATTGTTGTTCACCTTAGGATTAATGTGTTACAGTTCAACAATCTATCTTGAAACATTTAGATTCCTGGTTAACAGTAATAAAGAACAGCTAGAATATCACAGTAGCATTAAAATAAAGTACTGTACTATACTTCATCTTATAATAATTAAAATCCCTCATTTATAATACAGTACTGTACTGTATTAAGTTTAATGGTAAACACCTACTGTACTGATTTATAATATCCTCTACCGGTGAATTGGTAGTAAAATACAGTAAAAGGAAAAGTCTTGCAGCATAAATTAATTAACTTACAGGAGTTTAATCATATTTTAAGTACTGTACTGTACAGTACACCAAGTTGCCGATTTACTCCGGGGATGTGCTCCTAGAACAGAGTGGGACCAGTGTAATGAAGACACATTTTTCTCATAGACTTATTTATAACTGGGAGATGTGTTCCTGGGCAAAATAAGTGTTAAGAGATAAAAATTAAACAAGATAATACAGAAAACAAATTCCTAAATGGACAATTAAATGAACACACATACATGGATACTCACCAAATTCCTGTACTGTAAAACCAAGTTTGTATACAACTTGGCAGGTGTAATTACAGGAGTACTGTACTGTAGTTGCAAAACACTTGACACTCATAGTTAAGGTCTTTTGATAAATTGGCGCAAAAATAAGCAAAATATTATTCAGTGTTTTTTGACTGACTTGAATTTAGTGGCTGGAGGCACAACAGTGAGACCCAACAACAACCAGCCATGTGTTAATCCGTCTACGATAGGAAGGCCTGGGACCACACCTCACTCATATAACACCATCTGTGAGGGAATTACTACACGTCAGGTCCCTCATAACACCATCTGTGAGGGAGTTACTACACCACGTGAGGTCCCTCATAACACCATCTGTGAGGGAGTTACTACACCACGTGAGGCCCCTCATAACACCATCTGTGAGGGAATTACTACACCACGTGAGGCCCCTCATAACACCATCTGTGAGGGAACTACTACACCACGTGAGGTCCCTCCTAACACCATCCGGGAGGGAGTTACTACACTACGTGTTTGCTGTTCAACACCTACAATAATCTGTATGTTCACTGTATGTTCCTTTACCTTTCTCTAATGAAGGCTTTTGTTAAACCACCAATGTATGTAATAAGTCATTTATGTCCAATGTATATTTTCAGCCTTTGGGCTGCAGAACTTTTTCAATAAACCGTTAATTATTATTATTATTATTACAACAGTGTCACTACAACAGTGTTCCTGGTTTTTTATTTATTTTTATTGTTTTAGCTCTCATTGCAGAAAAAACAACACTATATCGTACAGGAATGACTTACATACCTGTATATTAAAAAAAGTTCTCTTTTTTTTTTTTGGTAATGACAACTTATCAAAACCATGCAAACAGAACCAATGTACATTAGCAACTTGCTGTACTACCTATTATATTTTACCAAAAATTTACATAAAAGTATTGCATAGATTGTGGAATGGATGAAATTCAACCTCTAAATAGGCAGTGGAATAAGAGAAACACTCCATATTTATGTCTTTTGAAGATAATACAGGAACATTGAATTTAGTGATTTTGATTTTCCTTAAATTGGATTATTTTGTATTAGTTATGCTGTACTGTACTGTACTGTACTATACTCTATATTTTACCTAGTTATCCAAGTTAATCCCCCCAAAAAAATAATATGTGATTACAATCATTGACCAAGGTGTTAGTCTTGGGTGTTCAGGTGACCAAGGTGTTAGTCTTGGGTGTTTCAGGTGACCAAGGTGTTAGTCTTGGGTGTTTCAGGTGACCAGGCGTTGGTCTTGGGTGTTTCAGGTGACCAGGGTGGTAGTCTTGGGTGTTTCAGGTGACAAGGTGTTAGTCTTGGGTGTTTCGGGTGACCAAGGTGTTAGTCTTGGGTGTTTCAGGTGACCAAGGTGTTAGTCTTGGGTGTTTCAGGTGACCAAGGTGTTAGTCTTGGGTGTTTCAGGTGACTAAGGTGTTAGTCTTGGGTGTTTCAGGTGACCAAGGTGTTAGTCTTGGGTGTTTCAGGTGACCAAGGTGTTAGTCTTGGGTGTTTCAGGTGACCAAGGTGTTAGTCTTGGGTGTTTCAGGTGACTAAGGTGTTGGTCTTGGGTGTTTCAGTGGGGTTGACAGTCATGGATTGTTTCAGGTGACCAAGGTGTTAGTCTTGGGTGTTTCTGGTGACTAGGGTGTTAGTCTTGGAGTTCTGGTGACCAAGGTGTTTGTCTTGAGTGTTTCAGGTGACCAAGGTGTTAGTCTTGGGTGTTTCAGGTGACCAAGGTGTTAGTCTTGGGTGTTTCAGGTGACCAAGGTGTTAGTCTTGGGTGTTTCAGGTGACTAAAAGGTTAGTCTTGGGTGTTTCAGGTGACCAAGGGTTAGTCTTGGGTGTTTCAGGTGACTAAGGGTTAGTCTTGGGTGTTTCAGGTGACCAAGGTGTTAGTCTTGGGTGTTTCAGGTGACTAAGGTGAAGTCTTGGGTGTTTCAGGTGACCAAGGTGTTAGTCTTGGTGTTTCAGTGTTTCAGGTGACCAAGGTGTTAGTTTTGAGTGTTTCAGGTGACCAATTGTTAGTCTTGAGTGTTTCACTAGGTGAGTCCAGTGAGGTGTTAGTCAGTCTTGTTTGGTGTTCATGACCAAGGTGTTAGTCTTGGTGTTTCTGGTGACTACAGGTGTTGGTCTTGTTGGGTGCCCAGTGCATCAGGTGATTAGTTTGGGTGTTTCAGGCAAGGTCTTGGTGTTTGTGACCAGGTGTTGTCTTGGGTGTTTCAGGTGACTAAGGTGTTAGTCCAGGTGACCAAGGTGTTAGTCCAGGTAGTCTTGGTGTTTCAGGTGACCAAGGTGTTAGTCTTGGGTGTTTCAGGTGACCAAGGTGTTAGTCTTGGGTGTTTCAGGTGACTAAGGTGTTAGTCTTGGGTGTTTCAGGTGACCAAGGTGTTAGTCTTGGGTGTTTCAGGTGACCAAGGTGTTAGTCTTGGGTGTTTCAGGTGACCAAGGTGTTAGTCTTGGGTGTTTCAGGTGACCAAGGTGTTAGTCTTGGGTGTTTCAGGTGACCAAGGTGTTAGTCTTGGGTGTTTCAGGTGACCAAGGTGTTAGTATTGGGTGTTTCAGGTGACCAAGGTGTTAGTCTTGGGTGTTTCAGGTATCTCTGGTGACCTCACTTACTGCTCTCCCATAGACCCCTGATTTGTTATGAAGCTTTTGGTCCAGGAGAGATTTTTGACTATAAAATAGAAGAAAGCCCATAAAGCTCTTTATAAGTTTAAAGTGTTTACACAAAACTCACTGAAGAGCCAGCCACAACCATGTCAAATGGAGCGTGATACACACTGAGCCAACTGCACTGATTTCCTTCACTTGTGAAAACTGATAGCTGGTATGTGTTCTGCATTTTTATTTTTTTATCTGTGCATTGTACCCACGAAGTCTGGGAAATTTTTTTAACAAAAGTGTCATGAAAATCATCACTTTGTAACTGTGAAAACCATTAATTATTAAGCATCCGTGATTTATATCTTGCTCCCCGGTGTGTTTATGTTATGCACTGAAAACGGACCGTAAAAATACCATGAATATTGTTAAAGAAAAACTGTCAGAGCTAAAAGTGAACAATAACACACAGCTGGAAGAACAAAACCTCTCCTCCCACAATAAAGCAACATGGACAAATTATCTAACAAGTATGTATTGTACAGTATAGTGTTATTTTTAATGACTTGCCTTAAGAAATATAAGGAGGGAATACACACGCGCACATTAATAATCATACACATCATCTGTTTTTTCCACAGTGCTTGTACTATGAAAAGACTGGCAATTTTATTGACAAGTGAAGTACAGTACATCTGTATATTGATGTAATTTTCTCAGTGGTTGAATATGTCCAAGAATAATAGTTACTGTAAATGCAGTGCATTATATTTTGAAAATGGCTTGTGGTCATGAAAGCATTGCAAGTACATTGCAGTCATAATATAATAATTTTTAAAAACTTAAAATACCCATAAAAACATAATTTTATCTTTCTGTAACACAACCTCTTCCTACACTCCAGATGGGAGTGGCACACCCCCAAACAATTTAATCTTCCTCACATATTTCCCATTAATCACCTTAACACCTGTAAGTAGAGTATAATAAAAACTTTTCTTATATAAAGCTTCACTATAATATATTAATCTTTTATTTAATGTTTACACTACAATATAAATGTGATTAATCTCATAATAAACAAAATTACTGAAGCGCAGATTTGAATCAAATTAAAATTTTATGGAAATTTCCATTAAAATAATTTGGTTTAACAAAATCCACACTACAAATTACTCAAATTGGTAGCAATCTGTCAAATGTAAATAAAATTAAACCTTACCTCTTTTTTTTTTACTAATAACAATACCTGTACAGTAATAATAATAATAATTCCAGTAATATAAAATCGCTCTTCTTGTGCTGATGGGGTCAGCTGGGGTTTGGGGCACAATGTGCTCCAATGTTAATTTTCCTTTATACTGTAATGTACAAACAACACTGCAGTTCTACTTCACATTAATGTGTGTCAATACTGTAATATACAGTAATACCCTGCTTAACGCGGTTTCGCTAAATCGTATATGCCAACTTTCACTTAACATGGGTTTTTTCCATGTATACACAGAGTGCCCGGCTGGAGACGCTATTTTTAGATTCGCCCCGCCTGCCTGCCTGTTTCAGCTCATAAAATTCATACAAATTACCCGGCCAGAATATAATTTACATTGCTGGAATTCTTACAATATGATGATCATTTTGAATATAAACATCATAGATTTTGCATTACACATACAAATTTTAGATATAATGTTTACTCTGAGTAAATATGTTATTTTTTGTGCAAAATATAACATGTTTACTCTGAGTATATATGTTATTTTTTGTGCAAAATATATGACATTTGTATTCAAAACATTCCTGGTCTTACAAGGAATCCAGCAATGTCAATTATATTATCCTAACTTTAGTTTGAGGTATTATTTATTAAAATTAGTGGTTTTCCCCCCAAAATTTCTCAGAGAGGGAAGAGCCAGCAAGTGTAGTGTGAGAAGAGGGGGAGGGAGTTGAGTCCATTAGTTGAATGGACATTAACTTGGCGACTGTATTTCTCTATTTCTCTTAAGTATTAATTGTGTGCATGTACCATCATAAAATTAAGATGTTATTTTTACTAGAACATAGGTATTGTGTCGGAAAAAGTAGAGTTTGGGGGTCCGGCCAGTCTCTATTGGAATTAATCCCATATGTACCCTGTGGGTTCAATTGACCGCATTAAGTGGGTACTACTGTATATACAGAACTGTGCTTGCTGTTATTACTTACCACTGTATACAGTATAATTATGTTAGTCATAATGGAGTACAGTATTTCATATATGGTACTCTAGTTGTATTCATTATGTATGTTATTTCTTTTATAGTTTAACTTTATATACAAATTTAAGAGTATTTGCAATATTTGAATAGGAAAACCTTGCATAACCTAATCCTTCCCCCCCCGTGACCTCTGTCCAGTAGAAAATTCAAGCGAACTGAATGATTTCAGTTCCCATGTTTCTAGGGTAAGAGAGGTTATACTGTACTGCATGTAATATACAGTGTATACCTCTAATGATGTATGTGAAAAATCAAATCATGTACTATTATTAACTAGTTTGTAAGCCTGAAATAACAAAACTCTCTTAAAGTAATATGTCACATCTACAGCAGTTTGTCACTTCATTAAATTTTCTCTATTTCATGAATGCTGATTGCCAAACTTCATAGCAAATTTACCACTAAGGAGATGAGAGCTTGGTACGTCCTACAAAATAGTTTAACAGTTATATCTTTGGGCTTTGTTCTATAAAACATTTACTATAAGCAATTTAGTCATATGAAACCAAAAATGCATAAAAGCAGATCCAAAGGCATTGGTCTTCTAATACTTGAAGATCACCAATATTGTATTATTAAATCTGCTTAAAATACAGGTTAATCATGTTTACTATCTAAAGATACTTAAATCATAAATGATAGTAATTTATTAATTCTTTTCTAAAGTAAACAAGCTACCATGTGCATTACAGCCACTGAGAAGTATTTTCACAAATAATATTACATTACTGTACTGACTACTTTTTCTGGAGTACCTGTACACGTGCATCAAGATTTGCAACATTGTTGTGGATTACATCAAGGTTTTGAGAAAATTTCTCCTGCACACTAGCCAGTAAATCAGCATTGGAATGTAGAGCTGCACTGACACGAGTTTGGGCCACATCCAATTGCTTCAGTGATCCACTGAACTGCATCGCTGTAATTATAATCAAAATTAGTAGGTTTTTTAAAATCCCAATACTGTACTGTATTGTATTAACATTTACATACAACATTCAGTAAGTGTGAACTGACAGAGTGCAAAGGAAAATATTTTGCATACAAACTGATGGATTTAAAATAATTCACATTATACCATACTGCTTTATTGTAATAATGGGTTGGAAAAAATGGCACTAAAAACAATATATATATATATACAGGTCCACCACCGATTTTCCGGCACCCTTGGTTCCAAAGCCTTGCCGGATTATCTGTTTTGCTGGACCAACCGAGGTCAGGTAATAATAATTAAATAATACACCTCTGACTGCTAGAAACTAAAATTAAACAAATATTAAATGTGAAAAAGCCATATTTTGAGCAACATTACTGTACACACTTTGTACTCAAATGTACTACACGAGACTAAAATTTTTATCTCTTGTGCAAACTATGTGATGTTTATACTCAAATTAATCACTATCTTACAAGAATTCCAGCAATGCAATTTATATTCTGCTAAGTCTAGTCAGCTACATTTTATAAGATAAAAACTTTAAACCTAAAACTAGCTTCACCCTGGCTGGGAGGGAAGTTCAGTGCCCCCCTCATAATTTTGTCCGGACTAAAGGAGGTGCCAGAAAATCGGTGGTATACCTGTATTTCTTAAACAAAGTTTATGTGGTTTATCAATAAAAAATTTTGTCAGGAGTGAATTAATCTACAAACCTTGTTCATGTAAAGCCTCCAGAGACACCAAGCGATTCACAACTTCAGGAAGAGCTGAACAAAGTGCTTCTGTTTTCTTAACCAATTCATAAAGCTCGGATACCTGAAACAGATGTAGTTCAAGATACACGTATTATAAAAGTAATTCCCAAGTTAGAATTAAGACATCAAATCTTTTCATTGTTTTCTTAACTGAAACTACTTAGATAACAGCAGTTTTTTCTTCTTTTTTTTATATGAATTAACAGAGTAACATCTTCATGATAAATAATTGTTGCTTTTATTTACAAAACCTACCACACCCAAGGTAAACTTAATTCATGGGTAAGCCAATATCCAGCACCGAGTAGATGAATTTTGTCTCCAACACAAAATGCTGTATACCCACCTTGCTTTGTTTGTCTGCATCCTCAATAGCCGATTTCTTCTCCGATATGGAGTTCATGCGAGTGTGTACTGCATGTAATCGTCCTTCTACATGATCCAAATGTGCTGGCTCAAGAAGCGCTAATCGTGCACTCAAAACCTGCACAGCACCCACGACTGACTTATGATTTGTCCAAGCAGAGAGACTCGACTGTGGAAACAGAGGGGTTGTATGCAAGTGTGCATGTCAGAATAATGTGGAGGTGTGTGATACATCTCCTAACCCTGTACTGGTAAGCTGCTTTGGAATTGAAATCTCCCATTTAATAACTGAAAACTAATCTAATCTAACCTAATTTACAATTAGTAATCCAGAATAGTACAACATAAATATATGCAGTACTGTACTGTAGACACACATAAGTACAGTACCTGCGTACAGTACGTGCGTACCTGTATAGCTATTTATATGTATTTTCCATACTGCTGGGACCAGCATGAAAAACTCAAGGAGTTTGCCTTCTTGCGGGGTACATTTTATCTAACTCCCACGAGCTATAAGTGAATACTGTACACAGATCTGCACAGATACCCTCTTAAACACACAAACATTAACATACATATACAGCAAGTCCTCTATCGATACAAAACAAATCAAACCCTATTTTATCACGGACTTAATGACATAAATTTCGGATATGTTCCTGTAAGCAGTGTTTGGCAGCACAAATATTAAGAAAGCACCAAAAAAGATAGGGGGTTTCTCTCTTATAATGTCGATGAATTCATGAAAAACATAAAAAAAAAACATATTGAACCACAGACAACCATTACCATATTTAAGATACATTCTTACAGGAAAAAATTTGCCCCCCAAACTTCTCAACCTTCCTATGTTCACTTTACTTTCTTTACTAAATTCAATGTCAGATATTGTAGTGACTACTTCACTGTAATCATAAATATAATAAAATCTAAATTACAATAACAATACTATACAGTATGTACAGCTAGAGTATACAGTATTTACAATACAGTAATAATCTCAGTCAGGTCTCATGTAAACAACAGACCAGGCAGCATAAGCCATGTTTAACACGCACACAGTAGAGTACAGTATATACAACCCCATTCTCCAATATTCAATTCATGCTCAATTACAAAATGGGTAGCAAAACCAACTTCTCTACAGGGAGGAGGGTGGAATCCCATTAATTTTATCCAGTTTTGATAAAATGTTATATCAGGATCAATTCCTTGCTTATAATCTAAGTCTGTTTGTTTAGAATATCTGATGAACAAAAAGGGCAGATAATATAAGGTGAAGGGAAAAGCTCCACATGTCATAAAACTAAGTACCTCATTGGACAGAATTCCTCATGATTTATCACTATGTAATCAAACTCCTATGCAGCTCCCTGATGTCATCTAGGTTGTCTGGATAAGGAGCGACATTTCAAAGAACTTGTGGGTTTGAGAATGAGGAGCATAAGGTCTCCCCAGCAGTAAAATCCTTAAATGGCTAAGAAATACCTGTAGTATAATGCTGTGCCAGTTGATGAGAGACGATACAAACCCAGGAATCTAACACCCAGAGCTTAACTCAAATCCTCACATGCAACTTCAACAAGGAGCCATCAGCATAATAACCTAAATCTGATCCAATTTATTCCAATCCATAGAAAACGATTCTACCCACATTAAATTCTACTGAGGAATGGGTGCTAAAGATGGCAGTTATTCAGCATCACAAACACCCTCACCTCTGGACAGACTCCCTTAGACAAACTCCACGAGAATGTCCCAGCATTGTGTGCAGCTGCAATTGAAAAGAGAATTTTGTATTGAGAAGAAACATCTCCCTAAAAACTTCCAATGAAGAAAGACTCCAAGAGAATCCCACTTCTTTTTACACCCACAGCCAAGGCACTACTGTACCAAAATATTCCTCCCTCTGAGCAATGGCAGATCCAGAAGGGGGGTACGGCCTCCCACCCCCTCCTTTTCACCAGAAAATTCCATTACTTTTGCTTTAATGCAGTATTGTACTCAGGCATTTTCTTTTAGTAAAAAGTACTTACTATTGACTTCAGAATATCTCTCAATATCAAATGCACATGGCTTCAAAATGGCCTCAAAATGCCTAGGATATTGGTAAGATTTCCAAAATATTTCTGGGGGACTTCCAGCACCCCCCCCAAAACCACTCAGCTGGGTGGACTCACTGTGCTCACCATGTTCCCCCACCCACAACTTCTTGGACCCCTCCTTTTGATATCCCTGGATCCACCCCTGTTGAGCTTGTCTCCTCTTTGCCTGAGGAACATGAGAGAAACCCAGACTTTCTTCCCGTTAATATGCAACCTTTTTAGAGTCAAAGACCAATCCTCATTACTCTCAAAATCATCCAAGGAATGGGGACCTCAATCTATGATTGGGTGCATTTGTCCAAGTGAACAAACACAGTAATAAGCTAGAAGAGTCCAATGGACAAAAATAGATAATTATTTCCTGTCTAATTAATAAATGTTAACAAACTGAAATTTGAAAGGAAAAGAGACAACTTTCTGTCTGAAATGAATCCTGAAAGATTGATTTACCCTCATGATCACTTGCATCTGATGCAGTCTACCCAGACCTACAACCTAGGCTGCAAAACCTTGTTTTTCTCCTATAAGGTTGTGCTGCCTGCCGGCTAACTTAGTTCTAGTGACTCAATGAAGACCTTTGTTTTTCACTATATTGTAAATATATAGTTCTATGTTCTTCCCACTAACCTCCTAAAGTCATGTTAGTCTTCCTTCACAAACATTATCTCTATAATTCCAAAAGACCTCACCATCCCATCTTATACTTCACAGTTTCACCATCCAATCTAAATTGTATCCAAACTGGTGAAGACTCACAAGCTTATCTGGGTTGTTTCCAATTAAACTTTCAAGTTGGTCTATTCTCTTCTCCAGCATTGCTGCATTAGCAAGTTGATTCAGCCTAGCATGTTCAGGAGCATAATAAAGTTCATAGGTAATGACAGAGGTGTTGCCTCCATCGCTAGATGATGTCTTTCCGTCCTGTTTCTCCTTACTCGTGCTCTTCTCTGACACTAATCCTGTCTGTTTAAAGCTTTCCAACAAGTTAATAAGTTTTCTGAAAAGAAAGAAAAAGAACCATTGTTAAAACTGTAACAAAACAAATTTCTCTTCCTGTAGCTATAATCAAATTTATCAACAATTAAAAAAAAAATTCTCCTTCATTAAGAGAAGTTAAATTATTGAACAAAAAGTAGAATAACAAACTTTTGAAGGGTTAGTTGAGGTTGAGAGATGGAAGCCACAATATCAGCTCCAAGAGTGTCCTCCAGCTTCAGATCAACCAGGGTATGATGGAGCACTTCTACATGCTTGCCAAGCTCCACTGATGAAACTAGGCCATCTCCACATGGTACTGACCCCTGTAAGGTAAGTTTACAGTGTAGATCTTTTCTATCCTTACCTACAGGATACATTATGGTGCCTGTAACCCAGTTATTAAAAAAAAATCACCTTACAGTACATCCACACAGCCCCCACTCACATCCTTCCATTACAATTATCCACATTATCTTTAACATGCCCTTGTCTCTTCAAAATTGAAGACGTAACTGGCTTAAACAAATTCACAAAAATGAACATGCAAAAAAATAATAAAAAATTACACTAAGACCATACCTTAGATGGCATCATTTACCACCACTCAAGGGGTTAAAAAATAGTATAAAGTATCTTCTGTATATCAATTTCATTACCAGGATAGGACAGAGCTTACTGTAGTCTAATATTTTCAGAATAACCATTTGAATACATTAATCTCAGCTCATCAAGAAATTAACTAAATAATGCTTTAACTTTTTTTAAGAAAATGCCTTACTTTGATGGCCTGTAGTTCCTCAATTAGGTGATTCACTTCATATTTTAACCTCTGGTATTTCTGGGTTACCGTCTCCTCTTCTCCCTCCCCAGCAACTTCCCACTCTACTCGTCTGACAACATAAAAACAGCCAGTAAATACTTAGCAATCTTATAGACAAAGTGAGTACAGCATGCCCTTCAAATTCGCGGGGGTTAGGTTCTCAAAGTGGCCGCGAATACCGGTAACATTTGCTGAACGGGGGGAGGTTAATTTTTTTTTTTACTTGTGTACAAAGAAATGTATATTCCCTTTGTGTTTGCCCTTAGGACAATTTTTTCTTTTACCTGAATTGTATATACATTGAACCCTCGAAGATCCAGACTAAAAGGAGGGACCACCTGTCCGGAAAAGCCGATTGTCTGGAGAATAATAAATGATATAAGAAACACCAAAATACCGTACTAATGTAGTGATGAACAAATTACCATATATAACCATACATTTACCTATGATAACATAATAAGAAACATTGTATCATTATTAGAGTGAATGAAATAATAGTCCTACAAACAACAATTGTCAACTATGTTTATGTTTCCCACCTCCTCGGGCACCTGTGTCCAAGCAACTGACGGGTCAAGCAGTGCCCACGGGCCTAAAATGTTCTTTGATCTGGTTTTGGAATGTTTCTTAGGGAACTTCTCGGGGGATTCTTAGCCCAGAACCTCCAAATTTTTTGTCCGGATCTTCCGAAATCCGGATTTCCCGGGTCCGGATCTTCGAGGGTTTACTGTATGTGTGTATAGACACTTTTTTTTTTTAATAGTGGCCTCCAGCCTGCCCCAATAGCCACACCTTCGCCACCATTTAATTACCTTAATATTAAATATCCTAATACATAAGTAACTATCCTATCTGTGTTAAATTAGTTGAGCCGCAGATCTATGCGGCATTCAGTGACAGTAGCCTCATAGTCAATATCTGCGGCAGTTGTCGGAGTTGGGGCAGAAGCTCTCATTCCCCTGAGGCAGAGCAAAGCCGACCGAAGGAGAGAGAAAGACAGTCGACATCTCATCCAGGATGTAACGAAACTTCTGGGCTGCTGCTTCTGTTCGGAGATCACCTCCGCGAGTCTGGCGTAGAAATATCTTGCACTTGGTCCCATCCCACCAGAGGTTGTGAACACTAGGGGAGTGAAGCTGCCTTGATCAACATTTTGGATTCTCTCTCCATATGCCCTTATCTTGTCGTTCTCGTTCCTCCTATGTGCAGCATTGAGAGCTAGGTTACGGTGACATGCGGCCATGGGATCAATAATCCTGATGTCGAAGAAAGCTCGCTGTCCCCGCGTCCAGAATCCTCGAGCACTGACGTCAACACGGGCTTCGTTAGATGTGTTTGACGTCCTATGTTGGAGGATCTCACCATCCAATGGGAGGAGGGTCGGTTCTACCACGACATCCCGGCAGATTTCCTTCAGCATATTTGCTGTAAGGTCCCTTACTTCGTCATGCCTCATGCACATGAAGCCCCCTTTCTTGCACACCATGGCGTGATCGCCGTCATAGGAAGAGCCACACACGCATTGGGAGGGCAAACCTTACAACTGGCCGACCATACCTTAGAGCAATGGCATCTGTAAATTCTTGTTTGTTAAGACTGAAACCATTTGCCCTTATCGGTAACGTAGTTAACCAGTTCGAGGCGCCCACCTCCTGCGCTATAGCTACTTTTTTTTTCAAATTTTCTGGAACCTGCAGCAACAGTTGCTGCAACTTATCATTTTGGCAGTGCTGTCGATCTGTCGTAATGGACCTACGAATCTCGTTTACTTCACTGGTCTCGACCTCCCCTGTTGCGTTCTGGGCTATTATGTGGTCCGTGAGGGCTGTCGTGAGCTTAAGTGAATTTTGATGTTCGGTGGCTGCAATCTCCTCTGGATTGGTTAGTCCCATCCCTCCCAGTCTTGATGGAAGTGCAGGAAGTGCTCTTTCTGCTGGGGTTAAGTGAGTGTGTTTCACTAATTTGGGAATGAACTTGACACTGATAGCTTCTTCCAGAGGGTGGAGGAGGAGTCCGATATCAGGGATAGTACGCATCAGGTAGTTCCAACGATGCTTGACTCCATGGGTGAATGCAGCAAAAGCCGCATGTGGCTCTGTGTTAGCAATCTCAGACAGAGCTTGGATTTCACTAACCCACTCATTCACCTTTCCCGCTACGTACTCGGTCTTGAAGTCCGAAGTGCCAATTACTGCGCCTAGATGTCTTTGGCCGTCCTTAGTTATTTTGACCTCACTTCCGCCAAAAACCTCCTTTGCCCGTTCATAATGTTCTGGCTTCACGATGAGGAAGGACTTGCTGGCGTTTGGGTGGTACCCTATTTGTGGACCTCGCGATGTTACCAAGTCCCACCACTTTTTGATGCCCTCCACTTTTCCTGCTCCTGTATGGTCGTCAGCATACGCCACTTGTTTGACCCCAGTTGTTTCAAATTTTATTTCTTGTTGTAGCACTGATAGACCTATTGCATACATTGCCATTGCAACAGGGTCCCCCTGTGTTGTTCCCTTGGTTGACTGTAAGATGGTATCACCTCGTAGGGCCTTGTTGTTTACTATATAAAGGTCTGATGGATTCCTATAGGAGTTTTCAACGTACATTGCAAAGCTTGGACACTTGATCTTGATGTTGTGCAGTGCGGCCTTGCGGTTAAGTATGTTGAATGCATTTGAAGCGTCGACCAGGAGAACGGCCTCACAATGACGTTGCTCAAATATCGTTCTCATGGCGTGAATGGCGGCTTCCCCTCCAGCTTGTTGGCCTGCACAAACTTGCAGGTTCCCTGCTGCTGCCCTGACATCGTCCTTTACCACCTCCATTATGCATTTTCCGATGATTCGCCTAAGCACTTCCCCTACTCCTATTGGCTTACATCCTGGATTCTTATCCAGGGGAATGAGGCGGCAGGCTGTCAGAGCATGAAGGTGATGGCAGCATGAGGATGCCAGCTTTCTTGCAAGGACGGCAATGGCCGTGCAGAGATCACTTGCTGCGGGGCCAAACTTGTTAGTGCTGAGGATGACTCTCCATCCGTTTGCATCCAGACCTGAAGGGCCGGCAACTCCCTGAGTCTTCAGTGCCTTTTTCCACACCATCCTTCCTGTTATTTTCTCGAACAGGACAGCATTTGGTGGGATATAGGCACCCTGAAACCTGATGCCTTTGTCATCACTTGCAGAGGGATGTTTTTCTTTCAAATGTTTTAATGTCTCTCTGTTTATTGGCAGGACCCCACCGGTGGATTCCTCTGTGAGAGATCTTACCGCCAAAGACACTTTTCCCACACGCATTTTGTTTCCAAACTTCCTTGCAGCATCATCGGTGTTTTGCTTTCCGTCTCCTGCAGATTTTAGTCTCTCCTGCAGTGTTCTTGCTTCACATAGGAGACCATCAAGGGCCCCCTTCTGCCACAGTGTCAGTCTTCTCTTCATTGCTGCCGCATTTTCTTTGCGCTTAGTCTTTGTGTGTGTCCTCTGACAGTATAGACACACACATACAAATAAATAATAATGGGAAAATTGTCTCGCAAATAATCAGAAAAAATTATTACAAATGTTGAGTCTACCTTCAAGTGCATACCGTGCTCTATTAATAACACAGCACGGAGTAGACTTGAGGGTAGAATCAACATTTTAAAAAAAAAATAAAAAAATATGATTATTTGAGAGGATTTTCCCATTATTATTTTCACACCCACCGACCCACACACCCACACCCACATATACAATACAATACTGTACATATATACAATCAGAAAGAAATGTCTTAAAAATATTGAGTCTACCCTCAAGTCCACTCCGTGCTTTGTTATTAATAAAGCACGGAGTGGACTCGAGGGTAGACTCGACATTTGTAATAATTTTTTCTGATTATTTGTGAGACAATTTTCCCATTATTATTTATTTGTATGTATTTCTACACACACACACACACACAACATAAACACCTAGAAAAAGTGCAAAAGAGGGCATGCAAGATTATTCTCTCCCCTTCCTACTCCACATATCAAGAAGCGCTCAACACACTGACCCTTTCGACTCTCACTGACCATCACCACGACCTCATCTGCAAATTTGGTAAAAAGCTTCTGCACCATCCTCGACACCGGCTCCGACTACCACCTGAGATCCCTAGCCCGAGAATTGCTGTTCGACACCACAACCGCATCCAGCCCATACGTGCACAAACTGATCGCTATAAGAACAGCCTAGTCCCAACCATTGTAAAAATTATCAATAACTTGTCATAAACCAGTGTATTCACTCCCAGTAAATCCTACTTCTTGCACTGTCACTATGTTGAAATGCCCTGTAGTTTGAGCTTTTCCCCATCTAGTTATTATATATCATATTTGTATCACTTATGTTACTTGTATATTATTTGTAAATCGAAACCCATTCTCCAATTATGTAACTGTTTATTTTCAGCCTTCTGGCTGCTATGCTCTTTCAATAAACCATTAATTATTATTATTATTATTACACATATACAATAAAGGTAAAGGAAATTACTGTTTCTAGAACGAATGGCTCCCTGTCCTGGCCACGAAAATGCCAGCAAATTTAAAATTACCCCTAGACATTCTTGGATACATCCAGGGTGTCATCCGCGAATAATAGAGGACTGCAAATTATACGGGGGCACTGTACTTACCACAACAATAATTAAATGAAACAACACAAAGGATTGGAGCACGAAATCCCAATGAAATGGCTGAGAAAGAGACTACAGTAAATATATTCCACCATCAAAGGCAGGACCTACCACCAGTACCAGATTAAGGGGTTGGGTGGCCCTGGGCAACACCTAGCAGTGGGGGGGCCCCCTGCTGACAACTGAAAATAAATATAGGTAATATCCACGGTCAATAGAAACAATAAAATCTAGTAATAATGACACATTTAAAAATTATTTATTCCATTCAAAGAAAGCGTATACATTCATTTACAAATGCACTTTTCGTCATTTTTTCTAGCAAATAAATGTATCACATTGTCAAATGGAAGTTTTCTTGAAATGTCTGACCCAGTGCTTAACAGCATCAGATTGTTGAGTCTCTCCTGGCACATCGTGGTCCGCAGCCTGTTGTTGATCAGTTTCATTTTTGAGAAGGAACGCTCCCCGGTAGAGACCATTAACACCAGATATATCCTCAAAACCGTTTCTACATTTGGAAATGCTGATTGTAAGTCATCGTTTTCCTTTATAATTCTGAAATAAAACCACTCATTGGGCTCATCCGTGGCTTTTGCACACAACTCTACCAGAGACGAGAAGTGAATCATTTCATTGGAGATGTTTTCATCAATATCTTTTCCATAAGTTTGCAAAAGATTTTCGGAAGCAGAATGAATGGCATCAGCCGACATGGTTTCCAGATTGCTTAAAAAGCCGAAGCGATCCTTCACCAACGTGTACGCAGAAATCTTTTTCGTTTAGGGATACCACTAGGTGATCAATGACTGTGAGGAAGCGGTTTTTTGGAAATTGTCTCTTGGACCGAGATCCACTTCACTTGAACGTCCATAATCCAGGGGAGCGAGCCGTACGTTTGATCGCCTCTGACGACCTGAATGGACAAACTCGGTGCTTCTTGCTAGATCTTTGTCTTTTTCCTCATAGGCATCAAACTGTCTCGCTTTCTTTCAACAAAACCTTTCATGGAAACCAGCAAATTTAGTGCTGATTGAAGAATTAGTTTTGGATCTTGAAGAAGTTTGTGTGGTGTAGTGTTCACTCATTTATACAGCCTTTTTATTATTTTATTATAATCTCTGTTAAATAAGTTAAATCAGTTCACCAAACATGAGTTTTACTAGGAAATATTTGTAGCGGCCTGGTGGAGTTACGGTAAGTGGTGCACAGCGAGTGTTAGGCAACCTGTTCCACTTGTTTATCGCTCTGTGGTAAAGGTTTTTTAAACAAAAATTACAATGTTGTGGACGGGCCCTAGATGTGGGGGGGCCCGTGCGCACCCTCCCCATAATCCGGGCCTGCCTACCACTGCCCAAGGAGTGTGCAACAGTTTGTGGCAAGATTACATTATTACTGCTATTCTTCTATTTCTGAACCTTTGGACAAATTTGGGACCATTTTTCTATGTATATTGTACAAGTAAATGTTAAATATTATGAATATCCCGGCAGGTACAACATTCATGAAACATGTCAAAAAGAACCATCGGGACAGCATATCCCATCATCCCCATCAGCTTGATAACTTTATAACCTATGTAACGTGACCTGCCTATATGCTTAAAATTATTTGTAATACCAATCTGCCCACAACAGAGCCCCGCACAGCCTATCACCCACACGTCTAACCTCCTCCCATGGACCAACAACTTGGCTAAATATTCTATAGATTTACATAACTGGTGGACTGGAGTTGAAAATAGTCATTTATAAAATACATTGTACATACTAATAATTTCTTAATAAAATGTACTGCAGGGAAAATATTCATGGCAGCCAACCTTACACATGCCTGGACTCTGCTTGGTACTGTATTAGTTTGAAGTTCTTTTTATTCTAATTATGATTTTTAAGTCAGATTTGAACATTCACTCTCCTGAAAAACTATAAACTAATTTTTCTCAATATTCTTTACAAACTAATTATTGAAGACAGATAGAATATTTTTTTTTAATTAAATTACAATATTGTCAACATTGTCCTGTACCTGCATCCCTCCCCTCCCTCCTGAATGGAATTGACCATTTTTGATTACTGTAGTGTATTCCCAAGGAAAATGTTGTCCTATAAACTTAGTAATTTAACAAAAAAAAGAAGAGAGTACATTACAGTAAAGTACAGTGGTCCCTCGGTTAATGAACACAATTCGTTTCATAGTCGTTTGTTAACCGAAACCATTGTTTCAATGGGATATTGGGTAATTGGTTCCAGCTCACAGAAAAGTACATACAAAGTAAAAAAAAATGCAGTAAAGTACACTTACTTTGAGGTGTGTATGTAGAAGGTTCTTGGTTGATGATGATGATGGGAATTAAAAGTGGGGTGGAGGAGAAGGGAGAAGAGAAGGAAGTGGGGATGGAGGAGAAATCACCTTTCAGGGTACCCATGCTTGATGCAGTAATTTCACCAATAAAATTTTAAGTTCACTAGGTGTAATTCAAGATTATTTTATTTAAAGCAACACTGCACTGCGCTGTATATTATCAATATGTTAACTAAATTTCAGAATGACCAATAATTTTAATGTAAAAATGCAAAAATATTCAAGACACCAACAAAATCGATGTTCACTTCACTGTAAACAAAGCCAAACTTACGCCTGGTGGGTGAGTCAAGCGGCTGATGGGCGCAAAAAAAAAACTACAGTCGACCCTCGTTAAAACGGACTAATAGGGGGGGAAGGGTGTCTGTTTTAGCCGATTGTCCGAATTAACCGATTTAGGGGTTAATATTGCATTATACAGCTATGTGTATGTTTATTTGAGTGCCCCGTCATAGGAGTCCATTTTCTCTCACTTCAGCACTCCTGAGTCGTCCGTTTTCTCTTAATCTTAGAGTGCACCAGAGACTGTTATATCTTAGTAGTGACACAGAATTTGAAATTGCAACCCCAATTGCAACTGGGACAATCCCAGAACCAGAAATTTGATATGGACAGTTCAGATTTCGTCCGATTTATCCGAAATCCGGATTAAAGGGGTCCGAATTAACGAGGGTCGACTGTAGTTCCCTGTACTGCATATATTATTAGTATGTTAACTCAATTTTAAAATGATTAGTAATTTTAATATAAAAAATGCAAAAATATTATAGAGCACAACTTTCTTGATATTTACTCCACTGGAAACAAATGTAAACATAGAACAGATTACTGAATTGGCAGACTAGCCCATCCGCTGATCAGCTGATGCTCACAACAAAACATGTTTGTCGTAAGGATTTCGTTAATCGAAGTTTTGTTCATTAACCGAATTGAAGATCCTTATGGGAGGTAATTCGTTAACCGAAATTTCGTTAATCAAACCATTCGTTAACCGAGGGACCAAATTTTATTCCACAAGGTGAGAAAGTTAGTTTCCATGGGATGACAGGCTCAATCAGATGTACCCAAGGGTGGGCATCTCTCACAGGAACATATCTTTCCCAAATATTTCTTGAGGTCATTTCATTACTTCCAGTCAGAAAAAAATACAGTTGTACCTTCAACTTAAATACTTATATATGAACTTCTTGAGTTAAATTTACAAATTTTTGAGCCAAAAATACAGTTCAGTGTTTAAAAATAAAAGGTAGCTAATGTATACTGAGCTGCTAGAATCTTTGCTACTGTTAATGGTCTGGATAGCATTCAAAATTAATCACAAAATAATTAGGGCACAAGATAAAGAGTAACCTCACCTTGCATCAAAACCACGCCGATGACAGAGAGAAATTCGATCTGAGAAGTCAACATTTGATCCATCCAGAACCTATAAAAGATAATATACTAATTACTATCTTCAAAACACAGTACAGTACAGTATTTCATACATCTATTACACATAATTTAATATTTCTTATATATTCTAGCAGTTATTTAACTGATTTACATTAATTAAAGGATTGACCATGGTATCAGAAAAAGTAAAGCCATTGGTTTATTTAATCTACCCATTGTTCCTGATGAGCTTCTCCTTCATAAGTCCTGGTTTGGTAAAAGAGAAAACCGAACTACTGTACAGTACCCAGTTATGTATAGTTGCACGGAACAACATACTGCTTACATCCCACCCAGGATCAACTTCAGGCCCCAATGTTGTGAGGCAAGCATTGTATGTACAGTACAGTACTGCTCTTTCACCAACATCCTTTATTCTTAGTCATCTTTCTAATTTATTTATGAATTTTTGTAACCACTAAATACAGTATAGACTACAGGTACCAACTTGGGCTTAAAACTTATACGTACAGTATTCATTTTTGATGGATAACACTAATAATTATCAATTATTACAACTCATCTATCTTAACCACCAGCGGCCATAATCAGCATAAGTTAGATGTAGGAAGGCGTCCATCATTTGAGACTGTCATGTTCCTTGCTTTCTATTTTTGCACACATGAGGGGGGTGAATCCTCAGCCACCAATTAAGGCAATCATAAGTAACCCTCTGAGTGCTATGAATAAGTTTTAAGGATTTTGATTGTCTAATACCAGACAATTTTATTCAGCTGAGAGGAACCCTTAGCAATCACAAGGATAAGTTCCTCATACATGTCAAAAGATGGGGACCACAACCCTTCAAGACACTGCAAAGTCTATGTTAGCTACACTTACTATAGAATTACACAGTTTTACTTCAATCTTGTGGATATTTGCTATTGCTCTCCATAACTTTCAACTATTGGCCAGTTACCCAACCAGTCAGGTCTTTTGTGTCAGACCATTAAGTATGTTTTTAAAACTTCATTTCTTGGAAAAGCACAAAAAGCTTTAATTTGCTTCAGGGATATTTTCTTAAAGGTTTAATATCAAAAGAAGACAATTGGACAGCTGATGAAAACCTAACACTGGCCACTAGCATCAACACAGATCATGTACAGTACGATTCACGACACCATTTTTGGTTTTGTATTACATTACCTGTACAGTATTAGATCACAGATACTTACTGGTTGCTCGTCACATGTCCTTCCTTCAGCCATAAAATGGGCTTTCATATCTGCAATTGTCCATTTTTCCCGTTATTTTAGGATGACTGGGTTACAACACACAGCATAGAAGCACAAACTTCAACACTTACCTTGCCCTTAAAATGAGAGTGAGCTTCATCAGCAGATATATGGAGTGTCTCCACTGCATTGCTGGTATCATCCCCATCATTCACAGTGTATTCTTGTTCACTCTCTGGCAGGTCACAAGTCTCGAACACATCAGGCTGGTCATATACCTGAAATACAGTATGTCTTCTCATTATAAAAATGAAAAATTATGCTTATATCATATCTAACTAACATTTTCTGACTGTGAAATCCCAAAAGGATAATTACACTTTGTTCTTTGTACTTTAACCTAGCATAATACTGTAGAGTCTTGTGCTATACATGAGGGCTATGTTCTTGGATAACTTTGTACAGTATATGTACAATGTTGGGAAAATCCGTGTTGAGCAAACTTAATAACTTATGAGAAATCAGAGTTATAGGAAGCCAAAAAGGTCCTAACCTGATCTCAAGAGTTAGTACGTATTATTACATTATCACATTATACAAGACCCTCCTGGAAATAAGCACTTGACAGCTTTGTTGGATATCGTAAACTGTACCTGCATTGTCTCGCACATAGGAAACTATACAGCACTGTAATGTACTCCCACTGTATATCTATATGGTTTTCATTCGTCTATATTCATGCTCAACTACAGTACATAAATGCACAGTTTATGTACCCTACCTATCCAAAAATGGAAGTTTATTATTATTATAATTTTACATTAGGTTAGGTTAGGTTACGTTTTGTTTAGTAGGTTTGTATAGTTTAGTATTGAGAGGAAGGAAGGAAGGATAATCCTTTACTCACTGGCACGAGTGGTTAACTTGTACCCTTCCAGAATATTACCAAATAAAACCATCCATGGCATGTATTCCAGTATTTCCACAGGAGAACATATTAAGTGAGAGGCCAGCTAGCAGGCCGACCAGTGCCAAAGAGGATAAATAAGAGGGTATAAACTCTGCCATACTGGGATCGTCTACCACAGGGGGCGGCGGTCTTGATCAATCCATATATTAACATAAACCTTCGAGGGATATCGTTTCCTCTCAACATACTCGTCTATAGGTCAATCTAATGAATCTCAATGTCTGTGTGAACAACACTATATCAACTTACTATTCCAGGAAGTCCGGCATATTTAGGGTCAGCCATAGTTAGTGACAGACACTGTGTTTACCTCAGGATGACTCAGAGCCTCACCCACACACTGTTACCCCACCCCCCTCCCCTTCTCTTTCGTTATAACTACGTCGGTAATATTATTTTATGTTAATTTCATATATAGTATTATAATAATATTATATAAAATATTACTATATAATACTATATAATAATATTTAAAATTTATGAAACATCAAACAAATACAGAAAGGGGCAATTTATCGAGTTGGTAAGACTGGCCGGCGTGCATACAGTTCTTTTAGCCAGTCGAATATTGTTAGCTTAAATGATTAAAGGTTTGGCTTAATTTAAGATTAAAGAAATGTTATAAATATACTGTATATATATATATATATATATATATATATATATATATATATATATATATATATATATATATATATATATATACTGTATATATATAAATGTGATTAATTTGTTCATTACTTAAGTAGGCTACTTGTCTATTTACTTACCTATAAGGTTGTGTATATAGAAACATTACGTGGCAGGAAGTACATACATATAATATTGCTGCCATATGACATCACAAAAATTGTGACCAAGTCCCAGGTTGCTCATCTGACTTACTTTTATCCTCTTCACCACTGATCGGCTCGTTAGCCGCTTGGGCGATCGGTCACGTCTGTGTTACCCACTGTTGGCAAGTACTGGGCATGCACCGGCTCCTGAATGATTGTACTTGAACCTGCTCCAGTGATGGTCAAGTCTGGTCTTGAAAGAGCTTTCGCTCGGTACCGTTGTAGCATATTGAATGTGGCCAGTTGTCAAATTTCTCTTTCTTAGGCTCACTTACATAAGTACACGTAGGAGATCTCGCACTTAAGAATGGAGGTGCGAAAGGAAACTCGCAATGCAGTGCTAGGGAGTTGCCGTGTGGTCAGGAGCTAGTTGAGAGGAGGTTTTGTTTGTTTGAGAGCGTTGAATAGAAAAACCTTCACGGCTTGTTGTTGTTGTTCTGTTGTTGTTGAGATTGTCGGACCGTAGTCCGATACGGGCCTTTGCCTGTAGGCGGTCCGTTTGGTGGTTCCGGCTGGAGCTCTTGGAGCAGCCAAACCGGATTTGGGATTGGGGATGGAGGTTGTCCTACCTGCAGATATAAGAGGATACTGCAGGTTTGCAAGTGTGAGCGGATCCTCGGTCAGTGAGCGCTTACCACCAACCCCCACTCTTGAACGTGGTCAGTGAAGGTTACTAGTGTGCCCTGAAGAATGCAGTGATGGCTAGGGAAACACTGAGTAACACTGAGTTCGTTTATTGTGGATGAGAGAAATACAAGCGGTGACCAGCATGTGCCAAGCACAGCTCACACGGTCAGACTGAGGCGCCTTGCCATATGGCAGCCTCGGGGCAATGTTGCCACATAACACGTGCAGTGTTGCCACGTGATAATATATATGAATGCTACTCGGCACAGTAGCTTATGTACAGGGTTGCTACTTGGCACAGTAGCTTATATACATAACCTACATCTCCCTCCCCCCTCACGCTCATAGTCTTTGTCTTGAGCGGACTTCTTAGTCCTAAGTCGCTCCGAGCGTCGAGGTGCACTGTGGGGGGGATCCTCGTGAGGTGTAGGGGACTCGTCCTCGGTCAGGGGGCCAGCAGCAGGGGGTGGGACTGGCCGGAGGAAGCAGCGGTTCCTCCACCAGACACGGCCGCTCGGCATCCTGACCTTGTAGTCCCGCGACCGGCCGACGCCCATCACTATGCCCACCTTGTCCCAACGTGTCGTCGTCGGGTCCTGGACGCGGGCAAGGGCACCAATCTCCAGTGGCTGAAGAGGGCGGGCACGGTCGTCATACCGAGCCTTGTGCCGACGTGTCGTCGTCGGGTCCTGGACGCGGACAAGGGCACCAATCTCCAGCGGCTGAAGAGGGCGGGCACGGTCGTCATACCGAGCCTTGGCGTCCTGGGCACGTGTAGCGGTGCGGCGGTAGCAGCTCTCGGCTCTGGTCTGCCAGTCCTTCGCAAAGGCCTTGGTGTGTGCAGGAACGCAAGAGCGGAGAGGGTGACCATACAGGGTCTGGGCAGGGGTAGCCCTGGGGCGTGTGGTCGATTCCACCCTCCTGATGTGACTCCGCTGCTGCTTGGGGCTGCGTGGGCCATCTGGAGGGGGCTGTGTGCGAACCACCCCGAGGGAAGTGCGCTGCTGTCCTCCTCGTCTCGGGCTTTTGGGCTTGGGTTGGCGGCAGCACTTGTCGTAGTGTCCATAGCGACCGCAGGCCTGACACTTGTGGCCTCGTGCAGGGCACCTGTCTGTGTTAGACCAGTGGCCCTTACGGTCACATCCACGACACAGTGCGTCGGCGGCCGGGCAAGTCTTGGGGCTGTGCTGCTTTCCACAGCTGCCACAGGAAGCACTAGGCGGAGGCGTGGAAGAGCGTGTGGCAGCCTTCGCGTTGTTGGCCGCCTTCTTATCCTTCTTGTATTGTGAGATAGCTCTCACAGCAGGTGGGGCCCGTAAGGCAGAGGTGGCGGACTTGGTGGCCTCGTATGACCGACATTCAGTCACTACCACCTGGAGTGTGGAGGAAGCGTCCAGGGGGATGAGTCGCTGCATCAACTCTTCGTGCCTGACACCTGTCAAGATCCCGTGCTTGATCCAGGCTTCCTCACATTCCCGGCTGTGCGCCTTGCAGACGTCGATCTCCTCTGACAAACTCTTCAAACGTACAAAAAAGTCGTCAAAGGATTCGTTCTCCGCCTGCTTGCAGCTGGTGAAGGCACGGCGACGCAAAGCCTCGTTGTTCCGACCCTTAACATGCTCCTGTAGAAGGTCGAGCACATCCGTCACTGAAGAGGTAGAGTCGGGAGGCACGTGCAACGTGTGCTCCAAAACTCTCTGGGTCTCCAGCGACAAACACATCCGCAGTTGGATGAGCTGTTTGTTTGGAGGCATGCTGTCAAGGTCCACCATCGTGGAGTAATCTGTCCAACGCCGCCTCCACTCACGAAAAAGCTGAAACGTGACGTCTGGTGAGAGGGCGGGTGGGGGTTGAACAGATGCCTTGGGAGCTGGAGGACGCTGGTGTGGTGGAGGAGGGAGTGTACTGGTGCCTTGAAGCGCGCTACCTGCGAGTGAGGGAGGGTGGGTTAGCGCCAGGGTCGCCAATAGTGCCTCAAAACGCAACTTTTCCTCCTCTCTTCGTGTCTCCTCCCTCTGAAAATCCATTTCTCTACGTCGCTCGTCCCGGTCGTCCATCCACCTCAGAATTGTGGCAATGTCCGTCACAGGAGGTGGAGGATGAGAGTCTGCGCCGGGTGGAGGGGAAGGTGGTGGGGAGTCGTGTCTCCCATCTTGACGTTGTCCCTTCTTACCTCCCATCTTTGTGTGTGCGTGGACTGCACTGTTTAATATATAAAGTGGCGCCTCAACAGCTCGAACCACATATATGTGACATAAACAGCTCAAAAATCACGCATATGGTCCAGGTCCACTGTCCTGTCCGTGAGTGAGTGAGTGCGTGCGTGCGTGTGTGTGTCTCAGAGAGCTGAGCGTGGTGGACGGCGGACTCGGGCGGAGGCAGAGTCAAGACCAGTGTCCCACTGGATGTCGCACGAGAAGGGTATGCGCCTGCGTGCTCCGTGGGTACCGCAAAAACACAGGCCAATGCTCAACTCAGCTCTAGGCACACACTAATACACTGACACTAACACTGGCACCGTCACTAAAACGCACTGTGACGGAGCAACACTGCACATCGCGGCGAAACACAGCGCAACACAACACACTGAGTCGACGTGCATCACCGGCAGACGTAACTGTCGGCATTGTTCACACACTTAGTAAGTCCACAGATCCTAGACACTGCGCCATGAAGGTTACTAGTGTGCCCTGAAGAATGCAGTGATGGCTAGGGAAACACTGAGTAACACTGAGTTCGTTTATTGTGGATGAGAGAAATACAAGCGGTGACCAGCATGTGCCAAGCACAGCTCACACGGTCAGACTGAGGCGCCTTGCCATATGGCAGCCTCGGGGCAATGTTGCCACATAACACGTGCAGTGGTGCCACGTGATAATATATATGAATGCTACTCGGCACAGTAGCTTATGTACAGGGTTGCTACTTGGCACAGTAGCTTATATACATAACCTACAGTCAGTTTCGGAGTGGCGCGCCCCCCGAACTGGGGTCCGCACTTGCTGGGAGAGGATACTTCCTAAGCTATCTGGGTGGTGGGTATCGTGTGATGACCCGGAGAAGGTGGTGAATGTGGTTTGTTTGGGCCTTTTGGGCTAGAGTGGCCGCTGGTGTTGTGTGTTCTTCTTGGAAGTTTCGAATTCTGTTTCGGAGACTTTGTGTGATTTCGCAGTCAAGGAGGTAGTGTTCCAGTGGGTTAGCCGCTGGCTCCTGACAGTAGGTGCATTCCCTGACGAAATTTCCGATCGTCTGCCAGGTGCACTTGTACCCTAGTCGTAATCGATGAAGGCTAACTTGGGTTTGTATTGGTGTTTTCTTGTCCGCAAATGGTGGTTCCCCTTTTGTGGCCACCAGGTACCATTTGGCTGATTGGGAACCAGCGTTGAATGCGTCAAGGAAGCTCTTTTGGATGTGGAGCTTGGTAGTCTTTCTGAAGTGGTTCTTGATCTGCTGCACGCTTGCTGGCACTTGAATGTGTATGCTTCTAGAACGTGTGGCTGCCTTGGCTGCTTCGTCTGCCATGTCATTTCCACCGATCCCTAAATGACTGGGAATCCAGTGTAAGACGACAGTGCGATTTTGTCTTTGGAAGTTCTGTAGCTGTGCGAGGATCGAGGTTGTGATGTGGACGTTGTCTCTTGGTTGACTGTGTTGCAGCGCCTGCATGGCTGTTTTAATGGACTTGTTGTGTTGTGTTGCAGCGTGTTGTAGGGCCTTTGAGATTGCTATCAACTCTTTTTGTAGGGTGGAGCAGTCATTAAAAAGTCCCCATAGGAGGGTCTGACCTTGGGTGTAGAAGGCCGCTCCGGATCTATGATATTTTGGGTCCACCGAACTCTGTGAAGTATGATGCTGCATCAGCCGGTGTCTCGGTGGCTATGGCTC